GCAGTTCACCACAAGCCAGCAATAATCTCCCCTCGAGCATATACTTCTTTGCGCCCGAATTTATCAGGAAGAAAAAGTCTGGGAAAAATAGGCTTTGCAAAATGAGCCGATGACCTGCTTGTATCGATCTGGCAAGCACGGCGCTGATGACAGGGATGGCAACCCTTGGGGGACGTGTTCGTGGCTGCAAGGCCAGACCGGACACTGGCATTAACTTTTGTTGAGAAGCACGATGACCACTAGACCACCAGTCAGCGATGACTAGTACTGTAGTCTAGTGGCCATCGTGCTTTCTCAACACCATGTTACACTATAGACAATTCACGCGTCTCGTGGGCGTCCCATTGTCCGTTGTGCATGTCTCATGGGGCGATCCATCAAGCACTCATGGGAATCGTGCGACGCGTGGGACGTTCTATGGGCCGCCCATGGGACGACCCATCTTGAATTACAACACAATATTGTCTCTGCGCCGAGATAATATGGAAACAACGCTACGGTCGGAAAACCGTTTGGAGGAAAACCAACCTCCACGCGGTGAAATCAACAAAATTTGTCAAGCAATTATGTGTTGGAAAAGCATTTCGGGCAAGTGATGCGTGTGGCAACCGTTAAGGCTTTCAAGGGGTACCCAGCGCATGTCCGTTTTTGGGAATGGGATTGCACGCACACGGCACCTCAGGCCAGTTGGTGGCTGGTGTACTCACGGAGAAAGGAAAAGTTGAGATGAAACTTCCACAAGAACATGGCCGCGCAACCAGGCACATGGAGGCGACAGGCGGAACGAAGCTTCAAGGCCCACAACGGCAACAAGAAGAAAAATAACGAAGAGCCGAAACGACGGCAGCACCAAAACCTTCGTGTGACGGCTGTCGCCATGCCCTGCCCGGACCTACCTGCACTTCGTGTCCTCCTCCGCCTCTCCCCTGTGAGCCCTGCTCGAGCCGTAGGGTGGCAACCTGTGGTCGTTTGCCGTTCACAGCACACAACGCGCAGAGAACGCAGCACGAAGACATAGTTGTTAGAGACTTGCCTGAATTCGCCAGCTGTCTTCGTATCACTCGCCAGTAGAGCTCACCAACAGGTGTTCCAACGGAGCTTCAACAGCCAGCAACTAAGATCAACACTGTTTCCCATCCGCCCTACGGTGAGAACTTCCTGAGGCTGTTCGCTCGGGCCTGCGCAATAACACTCGGCAGTGCTCGGTTCTTGGCACGAACGATCGGCCCAGTCAACGAGTGGTACAATTTCCTCGTAATAACGACGTACGTCGTGCCAAGTGCGTACCTCCGCCTCGTTTTGCGCTTGGAAGAAATTGGGACATTCACATAGTGGACCCATTCGGAACGAAACAACTTGGCGTTTCGGTCCCAAGCACGCTTGTAATTCTGCCGCGTCAAGGAGCATGACTTCCAGACGTGGTATAGCCAGAAAATGGCTTCGTCTTTTAGCTCTCTCCTCCGTGCCCGGCATATGTATCGGCTTTTCGCCCGACATGTAAGGTGAATATCGTGACGAGGAACCGGTTTTGATAATACGGCAAAACTCTGAGCAGACTTGGAAATGATGTCAACTAAATTCATCCACACAATACACTGCCGAAGTTGGAACACCTCTACCATCGCTTTTGCTTGAATGGTACTCCGGGTAAGGGCAAACTTGTGGAGGGAAGCAAGCAAGTTAAAGACACCTGACTTTCTGGTTCGGGTAAAGTGTTGGGCAGCTCGAAAGTTTCGGCATAAGCCTTGACCTGCAAAGCTAGGTGGGAAGCGTGAGGTTTGAACTATTAGAAGTAATATCCGCATACCTCGTTTAGGGCCCTGTCCCTCTCCTCTTCGGCTTGTCTTACGCGGACGCGCATGTCCCTGGACCCCCCTGCGCTTGGCGGGGTTCTCACTGGGAGAACATCGGGCGCAGAAGGATTGATGGGGAAACCAGCGAATTATCCCACTGCGCGCATCAGCGTTCACGTTCCTCGATCCAACATGTGCTACATAGTCGACGTGCCAATTTTCCCGCCAAGAGCATATTGGCACTCTATGTTAACTACTGAATATGCAGCATTATGCCGCTACTGCTATAGGTTTGCGCCGTCTAGTGCTCGCTCACCCCGTGCAGCTGGCGCAGAGGCCATCTTCATTACCATGGCCTGCATGTCTTGAAGCTGTTGGCCCCCACTGGCGTTGTCGAGAGCCTTTGATAGCGACAGGTTCTCGTGTTCTAACCTGCCGATCTGAGAGGGCGATGCAGGCGCGGTGCGGGGGAATGGGATGGGGGGGGTCGCTGGTCGCGGATACGTGTATCGATACGAAACCTTGCTTTTTTTCTATGGCACCAAGGAACAAGAACGGGAATTACTGAACTCGCCACAAAAGGGATAACGACAACAGAGTAGTGCTCTGTCAACGCGAGCTATTTGATCCACCAGTGAGGAATTGTACGGGAAGGAAAGACGTTTGTGTCCTTCACCACATTTTTTACCACCTCCTATTGTAGCCGGGCTCTAAAACGCTTGAAGCGTCTGGTGAATAGAAATAGTCTCCCCATACCTGCAGGGAGTCTTCCCTCAGTTGCTGTTCCAGGGTCGCGACACGCTCCGAGTATTCTCCGGCCGTGAGCACGTTCTTCTCCTGCTGGGCTGACAGCTCTGACTCGGCCACCTTCAGACGGGCTACAGCAGAGCCGTGGGTGCAGTCGAGTTGGGTCGGCAGCAGTACAGGGGAACATTTCAAGTATCAAGTGCTGTTGTAGGACGAGGTACACGATGCGTGTTCCTTGAAAGTCATTGTACTCGCTTCCTTCTTTGCAGGCGGGGCGCGTAGCTCGGGCCGTGATCCCCTGCCGTGTGCGCGTTTCGTCTTTCGCCAAAACTTGATTCCAATCGGCTCTTCACCGCTGCTACAGAACGTCGGCCTTGAGCGTGTGTCATATCAAAATAATCGGTTGAAACGTACGCCACCTTTCAAGGCGGATTGTGCCTCGGCATCGGACTCCCGCCCCCCCACCGCCACTGCACCCGCCGCGATGAGCTTGTCGTCGGAGGGGAGGTCAGGAGGAAGCTCACCCTCCCCGAGGGAATCCTCGAAGATTCCACGAAGCTGCTTATACCTGATCAATCGCATGGATGGTGTGGGAGTCAATACAGGCTGAGGCATGAATGGCGGGGCACGTTTCGTACAGCGGTTTCGACACTATCGCGCCTGCAGCGAAGTAGCTGAAAATAAATATGGCAGGAGAGGCATCTGGTTTCAGCTTCACCGGAAAACGGGAGCCTCGTGCCGATACGTTTCCCCGGATAAACACCCCTCCGGTGAAAACCCGGCGTGCGCGTCCCGGCTTTGTGGGATGCGAGGTCAATGGTCTAGCACCTACGGCATGCTAGGCTATGAGTACACGCCACCCCCCCCGAACCGAGGAGCTTCGTCGGCCAAGTCAGTCCACTTTATGACAAATTCATAGCGTCTTCGCGGTGAACCCTATGAAAACGCTACGTCCATGCCACATGTTTGCGGGTCTATTGAACAACGTCTGGAATGCGCTGTTTCCTCTCTGTTGTTCGATACTTCAACTTCCTTCTGACCTATCAAACAGAGCCCGGTTCTTGAGCTTTGCGTCTTTGGCCTCTTCCCTCAGGCGCTTGGCGTCCGCCGTAGCCCTCTCCTCCCTCTCCTTGTACGAGCCCACCATCTCTTCCAGCGCCGCTCTCTTGTTTGCATCACCGCTGCCGCCGTCGCTGTTCTGATCGTCTTTCTTTCTTCGGGAAGCTTTCGTTCCAGCCTGGAGTTAGTTGCGCACATCGGCCCAACCGCGGGGGATTTGGAGCAGTGTTCGCCCGGTCGCTCAGCCATCGACAACATAAATTCAGTGGTGTAGTTTTCTCTGGGAATTCCGAGCCATTCGTCTAGGCCTTCGCCGTGTTGCTGCTGTTAATTTCTCATGCAACAAACATTTGTTGCTATGTGCCTCAGCCAAACAGACTGACGACTGAACAGCTGGAGCATGTCATACAGGGGGCTCGGATTTCGAAACCCATCAGCTATTTTGATGGTGCTGAGTGAACCGTCCACAAATAGAAACTATTGCGCACCTTGCCGCTGACCAAATTCTCTAGCTGATCGCGGAACTTGCGACGCAACCTATCCAGCTCTTCGTTCGCTTCCACCAGTTCGTCCCGGCTGGTCGCCAGGTCCTCCTCCTTGCGCGCGGTTTCTTCCTGAGCCTGCTCACATCGCCGCTCGCACTTCTTCACCTCCACCCTTGAGAACGAGGTAGGGGAGGGGGCGTGGAACATATGGAAAGCGAAACGAAGTGTACGTGAATATGGTTTAACGAGAGGGATACGAGCGAGAGTGACCAAGAGGCGCAAAATTCAAAGAAGGTGAGCGAGAGAGAGAGAGGGAGAGAGAGAGAGAAGTATGGAATCCGTTCGGTTCGGTTCGCTTTGACGGTCGAAGACACTCTCGCCGTGGTTCGTTTCAGTGAGCGGTATTGATCATGTTCCAAGATATAATGTGGCACAAATGCGGTCCCAAGTGAAACGGAGTGCGGATGGGTGTGACGAATTTTCTCTGCGAGGATGCAAGCTGGTGGCAATTTTCTGCGATGGTATTGCGTTGAATCGCTTCTGAAATATCTGGACGAACGGATTTTCCCAGCTCGAGACTGAGAGGCACTGCGTTGGTCTTCTCCCGCAGCAGGCGAGATGTCCACGAGGTCTCCGACCCGACACCCTTTCCTACCAGAGAGAATGGCGGAGGGTGAGAATAGGTCTGCGCTTGTCTAGAGCACCGCGTACATGAGAACAAGACTAGAAAAAAATTGGACACGTTCCTGTTATCAATGAGCTCCAGACGAGTGAAGGCCGGGACCGGGCGTTTCCCATCACACTCAACGCCACTGTGCCGCTAGTCCTTTCCGACCTACGTGCAATAGGCGAGAGGAAAGAGGTGTGCACACCGGTCGATGAAAGCGGGTGATCGACTTACCGCAGCTGATCCTGCCCTTTCTTTAGAGCCTCGTTGTCTTCTTTCAGCTTGGCCAGCTGGGCCAAGTCCTGCATGTGGTTGTCCAGCAGCTCTGCCTGTCGGGTGTTGTCCCTAGCCACTGTCGACCTGCGGCACACGAAGAAGTAGCAGCAGAGGTACGATGACACAAACGAGGAATAGTTTAACAAGTTCCGACATGAACAGAGCCGGGTCCCCGTGCTCAGAAAGCCTAGAGGTCGCGGATATGCTTGCATCGTAGCTCGGCGGGGCAGGGGGGGGTTGACGCGTGGGTGGGCGTACTTGTTCCTGTTGACGTCGATGCGGGACGTAATGGAATGAACACAAAGAAACAAGCGGGCACAACCTGACTGATTGTGGTCGGCGGCAGTTCTCCGCCATTGAAACGACGTTGTGGGAGGGCGCGGCAAGAAGGAACGGAACGAAAATTGCACAAAAGAGAAGCAGAAAGAGGTGAATGTGTATATGGACAAAGAGACAGTGATATTCATACAGAGTCAGAAAGAGGTGCACGGAGAAGGGGGAGAAACGTTCCACATCATGGTGGAATGTTTCTACTACCAGAAGATTTCTACCTTTTTTCACGCCCTATCTTCCACTGAAGCAAATTCCTAAAATCTGGGTAGTGATGAAGGCAAAGCGTGTGGCAAAGACATTAGCGACAAGTCACCTGTGGTTGTCTAACGCCTGTGACTCCCACTCCACTTGTGCCCTCTGAAGATCAAGCTCAGCTTTCGCCTTGAGAGAGGGGCAACAGGCAGGCAGACGGCGACCAAACGAGCACTAAGGAACACGCGGGGCGTGGATTGGGAGGATACTGCGAACAGAAAACAATGGCTCAGCCTATACGTTAAACCAATCAGCATGCTTCATCATGCGATAGAGATCAGATGGACGGTGGGGGATAGATCTGTGAGGTTGTCCTCGACTGTAGCCATGGAAAAAGGGCCGTAAAATCCCTTGGTGAGGAAGAGGGCTATGTGGTTGTACCCACGTTGCTGCTTGAGTAGAGTCGAAACCACAAGTTACCTGGACTTGGTTCCGGTGAAGTTTTTCCCTCTCGTCGCACGCTGACGAGACTGAGGTTTGAGGACATATATCCGATGTCTACCTTCGAAAGCGCAAAGTCATGGACAACCCTTGCCAACGTACGTCTTCGTCAGCATTCACTTTGTCGAGACTCGTTGCAGGCTGGTACCTTTGCGATTTCCAAGACGCCAGCCTTCTTCTGGGCCACCTCTGTATCCTCTCTCAGACCGCGCATGTCGTCCCTTGCTGTTCTCAGGTCAAGCTCCAGCATACGAACTCTCGAGGAGAAGTCCTCCACTTGTCGTTCGAGATCCTCTTTCACCTGTAACCGTTTTTTTTGGGCGTACAAGCGTGTGGATTTGTTGATGCTGATGTAGCGAAATATGATACATCTAAGCTACAGTACGTAGCCTACGTCTTCGGGGGCAACGAAGCGTTAGAACGTGTTAAGGCTCGTACTACACATAACCCACGCTTCTCTGCAAGGGTATGCACGTAACGCGAGATTAGACACCAGCCTTGAGGGTTTTTAATGCGCTTCCTTATCACGTTCTGTATGGGCAGAAGCAAGCAAGGCCGTTTGAGTACTCTCCTTCATTCCGACTTGGATATTGTCGAAAACCGGAATCGACACATCGATCCACCGAACAAACACAGGTAGACTAGTGCGAGAAATTTAACGACTGCGGCGCTCTGCACAATATATCTTGTCTCATCCCCAGCCACGTTTCAGGTGTCTGAGGTGCTTGAAACGGAGGAGACCTGCTTCGAGACCGTCATATGTTTGTCGCTGAAACCGTTCTACCATACATACCATTTCAAGATGGGTTTTCTGGTTCACGAGAGTAAGAAGCTCCGCGGCCATCTCGACACTCTTTGACTCCTCGGCCCCAAAGCCCTCGCGCAACTCCTGCGCCGCCTTTTCCGCTTCTTTCAGTTTTTCCTTTTCAGAAAACACGCGGACGGAATCCAACGAAGACCGAGCGAGAGAAGAGGAGGTGGAGAGACAAATTGGGAAGAATTCGAGAGGGTAGAGGGGGAGGGGGGGGTGTACTCATAGTCGTGCATGCCGTAGTCGTTAGACCATTGAACTCACATCCCTACAAAGCCGGGACGGAGCACGCCGGGTTCTCACCGGACCTGGCTCTCACATCACCGAGCGCGAGGCGCCGTGAGGTATTCGGCGAGTCGCATGAAGGGTGCGCTGCATCCTGCTAAGGGTGTTCGGCATCTCGTGCTTACTTCCTTGCGTACGGATGACAGCTGCGTATGGCTTAAATTATTTTCTGTGCTTTGAAATCCAGAGTAGTTTTAAGCACTTTGTAACTTCCTCGGGGGTGCTTGACCAATTTAACACAACGTGGTGCGATCATCCCCCTTTGCGCGGAGTGAGGGTTCTCGACCCCGCACAACATAATCTACTCGACCACCACTCATGGTTACCGCAAAAAACAAAAACAAAGGCAAGAAGAAAAAAAACGGTAACCTGGTTGCCGAGCTCACGAAGTGATCGGCTTGTTCTACAACGTCGTTGCCAAGCGACGAAAACCGAATCCCGATGGCAAACACGGGGGGGGGGATAGAGGGAGAGAGCGGGGGGGTATTTACAGACACAGGCAGAGAGCGAGTAAACGCGCCGCTGAAAACAAACAACATATGAAACTCCGAGTTTGATGGCTGAGGTTGAAGTCTACCCTCTCTGAATCCCTTGGGGAAGACTTCTGCGAAGACCTCTATGTTGCATGTTTGACACATTACCAGATGATGAGTCGTCGTTCAGGGGCGCCGACAACGAATTGCATCTACACGGAATGTTGACGGAGGCGTGGAGAGCGTCGTACCGTGGACGTGCCCCACCACCGGACGAGAGGTGAAGGCTGTGGGAACTTCAAACATTTCCTTTTTTTGATCGACCCCGAGGTTCTTGCTACATTCGAGAACTTCATACTGTACTTTAGACGTCTGCGCCATCCGTACCTACATACCTGCATCGCGTCCCGCTCGGCAACAGCAGTTGCTGCTTCTCTGTCTTTGGAGGCGCGGGCGGCTTCAGACTCTTGCAACCTGTCCCAGGACGTGGGCGAGAAGAAGCAAGGGCAAATAGCACGGTGTATGGGTAGCCCGACTGTGTTTTTAGGTGTGGGTTGCTCGTCTTCCTTGAAGAGTGTATTTTCACAGACTCGTTTACGCTTTCGACAGCAAAAACTAGATTTTTTGTCGACGCCTGACACATGGGGGTGCAGACGCAGAGAAGACGCACGAGAAAGTCGGGAAAGCGTTTGGGTGTCGGACAAGCACCCACATCTATCAAAAATTTCTTTCCAAGGGTGATCTCGTCGTAAATGTGACACCAGGGGTCGTCGGTCATGTACTACGTGGGCGTAACACCTGACGTTCTGTCGCGCGAAGTCTAGTCCCGCCTTATAGTTGTTTTCGGACTCCAGAAAATCGATACTGCAGCCGTTCTCTTGACTCCAAACTCGCACAAACATGCGTGTCATGGTTTTTGTGGGTGACCCTGCTTGTCTTCTCCAAAGCTTGACTACCTCATGGTCGGCCAACCGGTAATTTGGGAATCACAGAGAACAACCGGAGATTGGCAAGCAAATGAGTATTGTGCGGCGCAACCAAAACCCGCAAAATAAGTGTGCCTACTCACTGCTCACCCCCATTTCGAGCGATGGGTGGCCCTTCGTCTCAGCCCCCTTTTGTTGGTAGCTCATTTTGACCCCTAGCACTACGTCCCGTGTGTGCTAACTTCGAGGTTTTCATACACGCTTACCCCATCTCGAGCTCGACCACCTCGTTCTTGGCGGCGAGCAGATCCGTCGTCAGGGCGTAGCGGTCGGACTCGAACCTCTCCAGCAGCTTGGAGTGCTCCAGCTTGAGATCCAGCAGGGAGCGTGAGACGGCCAGCTTGCCCTCCTCGGCCGAGATCAGCTCCCTAGAGTAGCCGTTCCCGCATAGGTACCAAGGGTTTGGAGCTTATTTAAGGGCCTATTCAACAACGAATCCCGCTTTCAGCGGCCGTTGGAGCTCGGATGTCGAAAGATAGCGGCATTTCCGCAAACTATTGATGTGTGGTTGGGTTGCCTGGTTTGTGCAGCCGTTGCTGAAACTGGCAGCAGCAGACACACTCGAGTGCATTTGGTAAAGCCTAAACCGCAATGCCAGCTTGGTCGAATCGAAGAACCGCCCTTCGTCTGGTAAAAAAGACAACGTAGCAGCATCCCCAGCACGGAGCGATTCGTTAAGTGCTTGAACGCCTCAACCGCCTACGGCGAAGTCATCTGGGAAAACGCCAGTTATTGGCGTCGCCACAGTTACATGAACCACCACGGTTGGCAAGTGCAGGCTTGACGGTTCACTACTGTACTAGATCCGCACACGATGATTTTGCCGTTGAACGCGACAAACTATCCGTACACACGTCGTCTAACAGTTGAAGGTTCCACAGAAGAACGATAGAAAATGTCATCAATCTAAACTCACATCGATTGGCTGGATTTGGTCTCGACCAGCTTGACGTACTTGGCCTTGAACAGCTCGAGCATTTTGTACACCTGGCGTCGGGCGAAGCATGAGCCTGAAATATATTTTAGACCTGATTGAATGTTCCTGGTGTGTTCTGCTGTTGTCGCTCTTGATTTTAACAGCGACGTCGTCATAATTGTCGTTGTCGTGGTGGGTGTGTTGTCGTTAGTCGTGGTGGTGGTCGTCGTCGTTTGAAAGGGGGGCGTTGGAGGTGGCACGGTGGCTTTGTTGCTGCTTTTTCTGCTACTGCCTCCTGGGCCTCACACGCCGATATATAATGCATGCCCAAAATATCAACATACCAAAACCTTTCGTTGGGTTAGTCAGTCATCTCCACGAACAGACACAGCCTTGGAGGAGTTTTTTACGGCTCCATGCTCCTTATTTGTTTTGTTTGCCTCTCGAGGCACCCGCTTCGTCCAACGGAAAATCGGAAGCGCCACAACCAAACACTGTTATCTTCGGTATGCATGTTCCGTGCCATCGACGAACCGCTGAAGACGCGAAGACCATTGTTGTAAGTTTCACTTTCGAAATAGTCGGAGGAAACAGTTCCAAACGATGTGTACGGATCTACAGTAGTACACCTCTACCTCCACCGACCTTCGCCGCATCTTCCTTCGACTCATTGCTTTCCATCCTGGCCTGCAGTACTTGCCCTTCCAGCGCACGCATACGCTGAGCGTTCACTGCACCGTCGCCCCCCGCCCCCCCCTTCCCCCCGCCCACTACGCCCCTGCCCCCCAAGGAGTTGGCCAGCATGAATTGGTACTTGAGCACCAGGCCCTGGAAGACACGGTGGTTGTGACGGAAGTGTAACGTGAGAGGATTCGTCGACGCAAACCAAGGGGTTCCTTGAGGCGTGCTCGTCCATCCGACTATAGGATGAAGCACAGAGGTTGATAGACCTGACGGCATAGCAAGAATACTGCAGTTCCTTCATATCGTTGCAACTGTTGTGCTTCATCCCGGCTCGGGCTCTAGCATCGAATCCCTCTTTCGTCCGCCCATAAAGGTCGGTCGGGTGGTGCGTGTTGGCAAACCTAATGGTACGCTGACAAAAACAAGTTTACGTTCCCTCTCCTGGTACCACGTGAAGCGCTGTAGACAAGACACTACCCTCGCTACATACACGTGTTTCGTGTCCCCCCGTGAGCGTTAAAAGCAGCTACGTCGTCCAGGCTTGAGGGTGCCGTCAAATTGACCCTTATCCCGAACATCCCTCATTCCGTGGACTTTAACCTTCTTCTGGTGAGATGGTCAGTTTGGGATATGTGTCTCCTGGAGTGGAATTGGTAGGGCGTAGAACTCCAATGGACCCTCGTGGAAGCTGTCACCAACAAATGGTGAAGTACAAGGGTAGAGTTGGATTTGGGAGCGTGTACAGGTTTGGTTCTTGCTCGCCTGAATTAGCTCGGTGTTCGCCACGGGGTAGTGCATGGCTGCTTGCAGGTTCTGGATGACGGCCATCGTTGCTGTGTTCACCTTGCTCGCCGAGGACCACGCAGAAGGGGTAAAAGCAATTGTTACAAACGAACAGCAGCTAAACAGTAGATGCCGAATTGTGTTGAGTCGAACGGAATGGGCGCGTGACTGGGATTGGGCAGCTGCTGGGCGCGTGACTGGGATTGGGCAGCTGCTGTGTACTAACGGTAAGAGCACTTGTGACCGTAACAACCTCATCATCAACACGGAAGGGCACATGGCGTGTGGAACATAACTTGAGTCGCAGACTCTAAACCATACAAGGTGCAGAATTAGAGTGCCGCCGTACACCCCGCACCGATGGTGCGGTCGTCGTCGTCATCGTCGCCATCGGCGTTGTAGTAGTTGTTTGCTGCTTGTGCTTCACCGACCTGTTTTTGACCACGACGATCATGAGCCTCGTAACCCTAAGCTAAAAACAAAATAGTGCACAACATCGAGCTTACCTTGATCGAGTCCGACCGGGAGAGGCAGGCAATGACTAGCACGATAGCGTTCCCACCGAGAGACGTTTGGAGAACCTATCGCGATAAGGAGACGGCGGGAAGGCAAGGTGAAGAAGCACGCACGAACAACATTGGGGACAATGTGTTGAGTCACAAGAGTAGATATGTCGGCTACATCCCTACGGAAGGGTAAGGACTAGCCGGAATGTGCACTAACCACGTTGCCCCGGCCATGCAAGGCCAGGGGAGGGGGGCGTAGAAAGTTTCCTGTCTCCGCCCGTACGTTCCACAATATTCTCATGAATCAAACGCCCTTGCCGAGACGGATGTTTGTTCCTGGTGCATCGAGAGACGCACCCCACAGCTGCGGCGCTGTCATCTTTGAAGCCGTGCTTCGTTGGCCCCCTTTTCTAATGCCCTTTCTTTTCGTTGACTACCTCTTGTGAAGGATCGTGGGAGAAAACGGACCATCGCGGCAGCACGCAGGATTTTTCTTCTACCCCCTCTCCCGAAAATGGTGAGGAGTTTCGACGGTTCGTTTCGGTTGGTAGGGGCATCAATCGTACGGGCACGATCCGCGGGGACAAGGCTGCAGCTGCCCTCGAACGTACCACCGTTGTACTCGGAAGTACTGCCGTTACACCCGAAATGACTACCGTTATATTCAGTTTTTTCTCAGGGCGCACCTCGGTAAGCCTGCCGTCCCCGAACGGCGCGAATCGGATCTGCTTCTCGGAAGACAGAGCCTTGGCAACCTGCAAGAGAGCATTCGGAGAGCACCGGGAAAAGAAGGAAGCGAGACGCAACCATTGTGTCAGTTGTGTGACTTGTATCGATGCCGAATTACGGCGATTATGGGGTGTGAAATAGATTGAGGACGATTTAGGGCGAGTTTTGGCGAAATAATTCAAGACGTGGGCCCCATAGGATGAACCATTCCCTGCCACAATCCTGCAAGTTGCAAGCATGATATGTTGGCGCATTCTGATGTATTGCACACGGTGCTTGTTACAGTTTGCCCATCGATTAAAACCATGCTACGGCCTGCCGCCCACGCAATCAGTCTGCTCGTCTCTTGTCGATCACATCTGCAGCAAGACCTACGACCATAAATCCTTGCGGAAGACCAGAACATTGATTTTCACGATAGGCTAGGAGTGGTAGTAGCAACGGTGGCTGCGGCGACAGTCGAGGAACATCCAGTGCTCGAAGAAGCTTACGCTACCTCACCTCCTTAAAGGCCAGCAACGAGCGGTTGAGCGTGGGGCCCTGCGTGAGTCGGAGGTCGTCGGGGGTGCAGACCAGCTTGTGCGTGGACGGAGCCTCCACGAACAGGGCAACGGAGTGTAGGTGTCTGTTTGCAGAAAAATGGCCGGTTGAGCTCGTGAGCGTGAAGCAGGTGTTTCCCGTCCGCTTAACGTTTTCTTTCTTGGTGTGTACACGTTGCCTCGAATAGTTCATGATTACGGGAGTTAGGCGTTTTTTTCGCTTTGGACCTTTTGTGTCACGTGTTGCTTGCTGCGAGGGCGAATCGAAAAATTTTGTCTGGCTACACTTACACCGGTGAAGTAAGTACCACGCAACTCGTTAAGGCTAGGCCGAGGTACTAGTTTTCTCTGACATCAAGTTGCTGGATGACACGACTTGTGCTGTGGAAGTTGCCTGGCTGACAGAGTGCGCCGTACAAGGGTAGCTCTTAGTGTCTCTGTACAGCAGCTATTGACGAAGTTGTTTCGTAAGTAATGCCGAACAGGCAGGAGCTAAACCGAGACCAACCAGCGTGCAGTAGGCGAAGGGATACTGCGGTTGGTTCCTTGCCTATACTGGTCTTCCGACTCGCCCTCCCGCTGAGTGAGCACAATCTGGAGCACTGCTGAAGCTGAGTCTTGGGCGGGACCGTTTGGTAGGATCTGGTGGTTTGGTTTCCGGAAGAAAAGCACGCAATCAGTCCGGTCGCTCTCGTAGCAACTTGAGCAAGCATGGCGTCTTTTACGTGGAGTCCAGCACATGCATAGCATAGCTTTGCGACAACAGAACAGATGTTTTTTGAGGTCATGGGGAGCATATTTTCCCCGCGAGGCGGGCTCTAGCTCAGGGTCGTTCGGGAATGCTCTTCGCGTTTACAAGAGACGACAGAACGGCGCACGAGTTTGTTTCTTGTTGTCGAGGGTTCAACAGCGGCTTGTCTAGGCAGCCTACCCCATCTGCCATTTTCGTGCCTCACGCAAAACACTTCCAAGTAGACTAACTCAGAAATTCTTGTAGACCTGTCGCCTAGGCCTCCAGCACCGAATCCGACCCTAACCCGATTCCCACCTGGGTCCTCCTGTTTATCCTCCCCGATTTTACGAGACGCCGTCCGTCCTGCGGGGACTCTATTCTGGTCCTCGAAACCCCTTCCACTTCGAAACCTCGCATTGGGTGAAGTTTCACTTGCAGGTCCTGTGAAAACACGAAACGCAGACATTTACCGGCATGCGTTAAATGAGAAGGTCCGAAGAATAGGAAGCATTTTGTGTGGGAAAGAGAGGAGAAAGAGAGAGAGAGAGAGAGAGAGAGAGAGAGAGAGAGAGAGAGAGAGAGAGAGAGAGAGAGAGTCGAAGCACGGTGGATGATTGGGAAGGCTAACGAGGAGGGAAAATTATGGCGCTCCCGGGGCTACAGAGTGGACATCTGTTTAGCACCTCTGATAAAAATTCTGTGTGTGCGTAGCATTGGTTTTTGGGGGTCTCCCTCTCCATCGCTTTCCCAAGTTGGAAAGTTGCTCTTCCTGTTCTAAAACCAAACACACTTTGATTCGGGTGTCGGACACCCTTCCTTTGGCCAATGTCCCCCCTGACCTCCCCATGCCGTCCTTTCTGCGACAGGGCGGCTTTCAGACTATGTTGATATCACCACATTCAGTCGCCTTGGGGTATGTTTGTCTTGATCGTGCGAAAACGGTCATCACAAGGAGTCCCCGACCTCCATGGATTACCACCCCTGAAGTTCGAAGCGCTTCATGGAAGAATTGCAAGCAGTCGAGACAATGGGGACCACCGCGTGTGTGGTTGATGCGTGGGGGTGTCGGGTGTGCGTGAATGTGTGTACTCGCCAGGTTATCCGGCTTGATCAGGTCGGTGATTATCTCGTCGAAGATCTCGTAGAAGGACACATCCACATCGAACTCGTAGTATCCCTGTCGCGCCGTTTAGAGCGAATTGTGAGAAAACAGGGCATTCAGTAAGTGATGATCATTTTCGCAGATGTTTCGGACATATTTCGCCGTTGTATAAACCACGGGCCGCACCGCACAAAAAAAACGTCAGCGTGTAGTGAACCGATGCGAAGCACCCCTTAAGTGACAAATTTACGACACACGATCAACCGCTGAGTACCAGGTTCACCCAAAAGTTGGCTTTGTCCGCACTCTACATTATACAACGATTCACGACATCAGAAGCCATGGCATTTATGAGGAAAGCACGAACTTCATCCAACGACAGCATAGTCCTTTTTTCAACGTTTTATCCTGTGCGTTTGTCTGCTTCAGGGGTCACCGTCATTTTCAACAGCATGCCCAAGAAAATCAACAAAAACCCCATTCGAGGGCCATTCCTGCAGCCCTCGTGATTTCGCCCTTGACGTCAACGATCCGTAGCAGAGAATTCACGATATATTGTCTACACACCAGAGCGAAAAGCAGAACGATCTAACCTCCTGTATCCCGAACGCCTTGTCTCTCAGCAGCTGAAACACTGGATCGAAGACCCAACCCAGTATTCCGAGGGAGTCGTCGACATCCTCGTCGGAACCCTGGAACATGCTGCGCTTGGTGCCCACGTTCGTTCCTGGATGGAGCAGTTCCCAGAAACGGATGGGTCACAGAGCGAAGCGGGGTTCGGGGACTGTAGGATTCGGTGGCGGTGGGGAGTCCGCATATTGGTGTCACCCGCTTCGTCGTTATTGAGTGAAAACGTTTGACACGCCAGCAAGGCGAAGCGATGTCAGGTGCGGGTTGCACCCGTTCCGCTGGATGGGGTAGCTTCTAACGTCCAATGAGGTGGTTCAGCTATTGGTGCGAGGACTTCAGAGGGTTCGTGTTGCGCTCCTCCCTTACCGATAACCACGGTACACGTGGAAACGGCGTCTTCAACGAAGGCTTGCAGCGGCACCGGACGGTGAGCGTCTTCCGTCGCGATTTGCAACACCTGCCGAAAATCGTTTTTTTTTTTATGGCGAGAAAGGATGGGGGACGATCGGCTTTCGTGATAAACAAAGGATAAAGGATGTGCATGGCACCAGCACGATAAGGTGAGGAAAGACTACCGAACCACCAAAATTCGGGCTTCAAGTGGCCAGTCTTAACCAGTACAATAAAATACTCCAGCAGCATTTGTACTAGGACATTTCACCCACTGGTGGCGACCTTCAGCACGAAAGGAAGTACTCCGCGGGGTCTTTGTTCTTCTTCGCTGCGAGGTAATCAGTTCCGCCCTTACAGGCTCCAGGAACACTCTCCACAAAGTGCGTCCCACCGCCTTAAAGGCATTTTTTGGTGGCGTGCACGCTCATGATACATTCCTGTTTTCAGTAATCTGCGGAAGGTTGCCTTTTCTATGGGTGTATGGGTGAGAGCTTCAATGGTCTACTGCTGCAGCGCAAACTCAAACTGCCTCGCCTCTTGGAACACGTCGTCGTCTTTGTCAAGCCGTGCGTCGAAGACTCCATCCACCTCATGAGGTCGGCCATCGATGGCAACTTTGTTCCTGCGTCCAGCAGACAGAGCAGTCATCAAGCAGGGCCCAGTTGCTTTATGCTGAGGCGGGTCCATGTACATAGCAGCAGCACGTCGCCCATGTTTCGTTGCACCGCATCGTCCCCAGAAGTGCTAATACTAATGAGCACCACGGTCGTACAATGTGGCACTCGGTCGGGCACGGGAGTAGCTGTTATCAACAGGTTTTGAACATCCAAGATCGGGCGCAGCGAAGGGGCGCCGAATACCAAGCAAGTCGGTGCTGCCGGGTCCCCAAATTGTTGAACGAGTGACATGTTGGGCAGAGTTGACAGTCCTGTGCATTATGGGTTTGGCTCACCCGCCGGCATGTGTCGCCGCCGTCGCCGTCGGATTGGGCCCGTCGTCGAGGTGCACGAAGCAAGCCGTCGGCATCCCGAGGGGAAAGGGGGGGTCCTCCACCGCACCACTCATCTTTGGATGTTTTCCTTCGGCCGCCGCCGGTGCCACTACAACCACCGCCCCGTGTCACACCCCACCGCTGTGGGTTCGGCCCAACCAATCAATCGAGGGTCCTAAGGTGGTCATCGATTCGACTGACTCCCTCGATCTCGGTCGGTACATGTAGTTACTTAGCTTGAGGAGATATACGTTCCATCCTTCCTGAGGTGCAGCACTATCGTTTCATGCTGCTGCGGCTGCGGTACCGGGTGTGAGCGATCTTGGATCTTTTTTTGGAGATCCGGGGCGATGCGGGACCGCTGGACGCTGGACCACTAAGATCGGTTCGCCGGAAAAACGCCATCACACGGAACTCCGCAACGGTCCGCGCGGTTTTCAGACCACCTGACCTCTCTGCACTCTGCACTCTTCGAGTTTTTCGCACGACGCAAACGGAGGGCATTTCAAGCAGGCGGCGACTATCTGTGCAGGAACAGAAAATTAAGGTAAGGAGAGCATGTGCACGTGTCGACTAGTGAGGTCTTCGAGCTTGTGTGTGGATAGGGTTCGTTGGTGCGCTCATACCAAGCCGTTCTCGTCAACTATTCAGCGGGTGTTGCAGACACTGGCCAACCACAGCGACTATATTTGCCACAAGCAGAAGCACACACGCCAACTCTGTACACCGAGGTGAGAGTGCCTCGACGCAAACTGCAGTTGTCCTTTGAAGAGTGGTTTTGGCCGGGCTTGCCTCGGTTCTTGTTCGCTTGATTCTCCCGTGCTGCTGCTGCAATTGAGCCGTGTGATGGTAGATGTGCGGTAGGGACATGATGGTCAGTCAGATTATTGAGCCTTCCGCGGTTGATTGAACACCGATCCCATGATACCCCTTTTCGCTGCTGTCATAACCCAGCAGTAGCACCTAGCCAACAGCACGCCAACAGCCTGGGAAAGGAAGCGCGCCGGCATACAATAAACTTCGAGCACGGAGCTTAGGAAGCTGTCGTGGTAGCTCGACCCAGGGAGCGTAGAGGCGGACGAGACCAGAAGCGGCGCACCTATTCGAGAGCATTGTTTCGAGATGTCGTCCTTCTAAAAGGTTTGATGGATGAAAGCCGAAACCCAACCCGTTCCTCTTTCATTGTCTATGTCGTACTTCGTGACACCGCCCAGCCAGTTGAGAACTGGACACGTGGCTGTAAGGCGAGCATGGATTTTCCTCCGGGCCCGAGCGGAACGAATTGCCAACAACGCTCTTTGTGGTACATTGTACATAGACGCTCCCCGCTAGCGTCTGACACAAGATACCACACCCCCAGGACCGATTCTCAAAGGCTTGGTTGTTACTCCGCATCAGAAGCAGCCGAAATGACGGCGTTGGAGGCGTATCGTCAACAGGCTTTCCGAAAACGAATGTTTTGATTATGCCATCCGCTTTGTCGTGGACGTGGAGTAATAACTGGAGGTTTGTTTGAAACTCGGTCCAGGGGGTATGGCATCTACGTTGCGGTACATTTTATAATATAATAGTAGAACCGTTGTTGTTGATTTACTCCGCACAATTGGAGTAAACGGCATGTTTTTCGTGTGTTGCCTGGAGCGCGGCTGCAGGCGCTTCTTGTTCGGGTGAGTTCGCCACTGCTCGCCCCACGACGTACTGTATGCATTATACAAAGGGGAAGAGCAGATGCTGCAATGTATGTACTCCAGAATTTTGTACCATGTGCAAGGCAGTGTAAATGCTTGTAATTATTGTAACAAAGAGTATGACGAATCTTCTCGCAATGGGCCGCTTTTTGTTTCGGGGTCATGTTTTGAACGGGAATCTCGACAAACATGCCTTGTAATCTGAAACCCACCCACACAAAGCATGTAGCAAGAGTTCTGCCAAGCAAGTGTCTTCGTCGCTCATTGCTCGCGAGAACAAAAAAAGCCCGTTTGCAATGAAGCTCCGTCATGCGCTCCACTGCTGTGGACATTCTCGGAGCCAAGTTTAGAGGCCTGCAACAATATGGTGGGATCTGCGCCGAGTGCCCGTGTGCCATGGCCAATTCCAAATCGGATTTTCTAACGCACCCTGGCTGGGATCATAGCAGGAAGTTGAGCGAGGGTGCCCAAAACTTCCGGACTGGGAAATAATTTGCCGATGAAGCACGCGTGAAAGGAACGCACGCCCCCCAAGCCTAGCTCCCCAACATTGGCTCACAGCGATAATGTATAATGTACAAACTCTGAGGAGGTTTGATTACAACTCGGGTTGTGTGACGAAGGTGAGTTGGTCTGTTTTTCCAACTACAGTTACGTTGTTGGTGCCGAAAGCTCCGAGCGCAAATGCATGAAAACTCCAGCCCTTCCCATGCCCCTCCCTGTTGTTTCTCGTGCGGTTATTCCGGCGGCAGGGGCGCGCGCGTGGGGGGGGGTGTCAAGCGGGATCGTTTTCTGGGCTTCAGAAATGGCTAAGGGCTACTTGGCACTGTCGGCTCACGGGGACTGCACTGAAGGGCTGGACTTTAGATTACACCAGGCGTTTGGCGGCAGGGGGGTGACTCCACAACGAGGGCAGCAGCAACGAGGCGAGAGAAGACCACAACAACAACTATAGGGACAGCAGCAGCAAGTGCGACAAAGTCTTAATTGTCTCAGCGCACGGAAGACCGACGAGAGCGATAGGTACAGGCGGGTCTAACCTACGAAACAGCGGCAGAGGGCACGGACAGAGAAGCGTTGTTTGCACCGAGGAGGGAAGGAGGATGGCGAGGCTGTGCGAGCCGGGGCCGGAGTCGCCACGCCGAGCTCACGCCGGCGACGATTTACCACCGGCCGCAACGGCAGGGTCTCTGCTTCCCGTGAACGACGGCGACGGCGACGACGACGGCGATGGCGGCGGCGGCGCGGCAAGCAGCGGCAGCGTCGCGTGTACCATGACGACAGCAGCAGCAGTAGCTCCTGAGGCCGTAGGAGAGGTGGTTTCGTCGCCGGCACCGACACGGGCGGCCTCTTGCGCCGTCTTCGGGGCCACATGTGCGGCCAGCGGCACCCTGAGCGGGGGGGGCGGGACGGGGGGCGGGGGTGACGCAGCATGCGAGAACGGTGGGTCAGTAGTCGGCGGCGGCGGCCAGTGTCGCGGATGCGAAGGGGAGGAGGAGGAGCAGGCGTCGTGGAACCGAGCGTCGAAGGCGGAGAGAAGGAGGCAGCGCAAGGCGGCATCGGCGCCGCCGGCGCCTCCGGCGCCGACAGCAGCGGCGACAGCCGAAGCCGACGGCCTCGCGCCTGCCCCGGGCGCGGATGCTGCTGCTGTTGCTTCTGCCGTGGAGGAAATTTCGCCGAACCTTCCGGCGACAACGACGGTAGCTGGTGTCGGTGGTGCTGCTGCTGCAGCAGCGGCGGTACCCCCACCGGCAGCCGCCGCAGCCGGTCAGAGCAAAGCGGGAGGAGGAGGACGCAGCAGGCGTAGACGCAAGAACGCCGCTAAGGCCGCAGCGGCGGCGGCGGCGGCAGCCGCCGCTGCCAACAACGAGGATGAGGATGACGACGACGAAGATTGCGACATCGAGCAAGCGGCTGGCCTAGCGGGCGCGGGGCCCGGGGTGGCGGCGGACGGGCGCGCGGAAGACATATGCGAGGAGGACGACGAGGGAAACGTGGAGTACAAGCTGAAGCTGGTCAACCCGCCGCTCGCCAGGCTGGAGCACCTCTTCACCCAGGTGCGCGCGTGTGTGTTTGTTTGGTTTGTGCCGGGAGGTGTGTGCTCTTTCGTGTGTGTTTTTCATGCGTGTGTGTGTATTGCTTTCAGTGGCATCTACCGCGCCACTACCCGTAGGCTATTACTGCTACCTTGGCTATGCTGTTACTATTACCTTGGTTGTTCCACTTCTGCTTGGCTGTACACTTGCCTTTGTTACACCGCTATTTGACCGTACACCTATGGCCTTGCCGGTACTATTTCAATCACCTTGTTGCACTACGAAATATTGACCCGACTGTATTACTCCAAACTCCCCTGGTTGTGTGCACAGATGAACTGGCGGCTGAACGAGGGGAGGGGCGAATGCATGTACATGCTGGGGTATGAGGACGATGGAAAGGCTACCGGCATGTCCCCGTCAGACCTCAGCGCCTCGATCAAGACCCTAAGGGTCATGATGGAAGCCGTGGGAGCAAAGATCGCCAACATGCAGGTAAACCAGGGGGCTTGGGGGGGAGAAAGTGTTGGCTGGACTGGACATGTTTGGTCCGAAAACTACCAATTACCACCGTACCGAGAATTGTGTTGTTTTGTTGGCTAGTCCCAGTGTCACCGGTATTGGGTTCGTGGTATGGACAGAAGGCCTTGGACGGAAGTCCATCAGCGTCGGTGTCGCCAGTGCGCACACCCGTGTTCCCGCTGTTGTTTTTTTTTAGCTTTTTTCGTTGCAGCTTCGTGCGTTGTGCGGCGATCTGGGTGTCTGCTTGTTTCGGGTGGCGTTGAGATGCTCTTTCCTGATTGTCTAAACGTGCTTTCTGCATTTGCGTTTTGAAGCCTTGCGGTAGTGCTGTCATGCTGGGCGATGCGTTGTTCCTGTTGCCGTTTCTTGACGAAACATAGCTCGTCGAGATGTCGCTGTTGGTTTTTGTGGGGTAGCAGCACTTACAGGGCTTCGCTCACGAGGAAGCCTTCAACAACACTGAGCAAGAATCTTGCTTTATTCTTTATCCATGACTGCTGCTGCTGCTGCTGCTGCTGTTTCCGCTGGCGTCACAGGTGCAAGCCGGGGCGGGAGGAGGGAAGCTGAAGGTGGCTAGGGTGACCGTCGTTAGGCGGGCTGCGCTCTTCGACGGCCTCCCGCCAGACTCTGAGAGGAGGGGGCTGAGGTGAGTACACGCTGCTCTCCGGTGGGAAGAAGAAGAAGGGGCTTCGTGTTGTCTCTTGCGGTCACCGGTTGGTTGGTTTTGGGGATGTTGAAGTGACGTGCTTTTGTTGGCGCATTGATTTCTGTCGTGAAGCTATCGTTGGTTTCCTGTTCTGTTGGGGTACCCCTCTTGTCCCGGACTGTGGGCCGCTTTCTGCCCCCTCCCCCCTGCTGCTCCCTCGATCTCTCCAGCCTCATCGCCCTCCGTTGGTGTCTCCTCGGTAGATTTTTTTCTGTTCAAGTCCTCGCTCGTGTTTCGACTCCCTGGACCCCCCCCCCCCCCAACCCGGTTAATATGCGACACTACCCAACGAATTCTTCTTTCGTCACACCTTGGCAAACTCTTCCGTGAGCTCGTGCTTTGTTCTGTTTGTGTTTGTCTCTCCCTCCCTCATCTTCCCTCTGCTTTCGCGAAACAACAGGCTGGGCGTTCTAGGCCACGCTGGCGCGGGCAAGAGCACTCTCGTCAGCGTCCTCACCAAAGGCATGAGCGACAACGGAAGGGGGCTCGCGCGCATGCAGGTCTTCCGGCACAATCACGAGGTCTTCAACGGCCAGACCAGCAGCATCTCTCAGCAAGGTATGTTACACGCATCTTGGTGACGCAGCCCCCTGCTTGAGCTGTGTAAACGCGTGCCGCCTCTTGTGTGTTGGTCTGGTTGCAGTTTTTTTCTCAGCTTATCTACCCTCCCTAGATCGGGATGATGAAACCCTCTGCTTTAGATGTGTAGGCGCATGCTACTCTTGTTGTTTTTGTTGTTTGGGCCGGCGCGGAGGGTGTCCACGACACAGCCTAGGTTTTTTCATTCGAGTTTGTGCACAAGTAATCACAGGAGATTTTTGGGTCTCACTCTGCGTCGCCCCCTGTCCGTTATCTCCGTAGACTAGACTTGTGGACACTGTGTGGAGGGCCCAGACGTTAATAGACCTCGCAGCCGTCTTGGTTCATACATGTAGGAGTTCCAACGGAGAGCTTTGTCGGGCAGGAACGATGTCCGGTCGTCTGATCACAACACTGAAGCACTACCCAAGCACGCCTCTGTACCCCCCCCCCTCCCCCCTCCTTCCCGGGCCTTGTCAGCTCTCACGCTGCCCCCTGCTCCCGTGGGGTCATCGCAGCTGGGAAAGACGGCCCCGGCAGCCCTCGGCCGGCGTTCCGCGAACGTGCAAGGAGCGGCGACAACACCGCGGCAGCAGTCGGCGGTGCCCGGTGATGGTGATGGGCTGCTGGCGGCTGTGTCCGGCGGCGGCGGCAGCGGCAGCGGCAGCGGCGGCCTTGGGCTATCTTCGCCGTCGCCGCACGCGTCGTCGTCGTCGTCGTCGTCGTCGTCGTCGTCGTCGCGGGTGCTGAGCTCCTCGTTCCCGCGAGTGTCGAACCTGGAAGGTGTTTCTGCCAGCAACGGCTTCGCGTCGGCGTGGGCGAGGAAAGGGAACGGGAGCGCCGGCGGTGGCGGCAGTGGTGGTGGCCGGCCGCGGGGGTACAGCGTGGATGGTGAGCGCTGGTGGTGTTGTCGGTTGACCCGTTGCTGGTGTTGGTGTTGAAGGTTGTTCTTCGTAGTTTCCTCTGTTGTTGCTGGTGGCGTATTTGTTGTTGTTCTTGTTGTTCTTCTTCTTCTCCTTCTTCTTGTTGCTTCTTGTTGTCTTGTTCTTGTTCTTGTTCTTCTTGTTCTTCTTGTTCTCTTCTTGGGCTATTGGTTGCCGAGTTGTGGTTGCCGTAGGAGCTCTCGTGTCTGGTTGCAAACGTGGTTTGGCGCTTGATATGGACGTTTCTGTTGCGGCATGCCACTTCCCGCCTCCATGGCATTCGCATCTCGCTCTCGTGTGTCATGTAACCCGTCTTCGTGCACACACGAACCTGTGCCCCCCTTGCTGCCTTTCCTGTGTTGACTGCCGACGATAGAGAGCGGGCACGGAAAACGTGGACTACGGAAGCGGCTGGACGGTGGTGGGTTGGGGGGCGAGGAGGAGGATGGCGAGTCGAGGGTGCTCACCTTTATCGATCAGCCAGGACACGAAAAGGTGTCGTATATTGTTTTTTGCCCACGGCACCGCGTGTCCTTGCATTGTGTAGAGACGCAGGGGGGAGGGGAGAGACAAGAGAAATATTGTTTAGCCAGTCACGACGAAGAGGCAGGGGCGAAAGGGTCACTGGGAGTGAGAGAGGGATCGATAGGCATTGACGGACACAAACAACCTCACAGACAGATCTAGAGCGAGCGAGAGAGAGAGAGAGAGAGAGAGAGAGAGAGAGAGAGAGAGAGAGAGAGAGAGAGAGAGAGAGAACGAGAACAGGCAGGCATACGTAATGTAAACGCCGCTTGCCCCGCGTCGTAGTATTGTTGGGTGTTGCGGTATTTGAAACACTACCTCTGACAGGGGCATGAGGGTGCTTGAGTTTTGCTGTTACAGTATCTCGTCGTATATGTTGCACCACCCCTGCTATGCACACACGCCCTCGCGCCGCATCGAAAGGTTGCGCGTTATCGCATTGGAGTACCTAGTTGTCGTACCGACTTACAGGAGACGTGCGCCTGTCATGCTACCTTTCGAAGGGAACGCGCAGCGCCACCCACGGATTGCGGTAGATGTCCCTGATTGATGCCAGTCGCGGAGGTGCCGTGGATTAGGTCCGCTCTTCGCCTTGTTGCAAAACCACGCCCTGCTGTTGCACTTTCCCGCGCTTTGTTTTTACGACTCCGTTCCCGACGCCCCGTGATAACTCTCTGTCTGGAGTTCACCTAACCTCGCAACTGATGGCGCAACAAAAACGACCACCCGTAACAGTACCTCAAGACGACTCTGACGGGCATGACGGCGTCGGCGCTGGACTACTCGATGCTCGTGGTGTCCGGGGTGGACGGGGTGCAGCGCATGACGCGGGAGCACCTGGCGATCGCTCTCGCCTTGCAGGTGAGGATGCTGGTTCCTTGGCGTTTCGACTGTTTCGGCTGTTTTTGTTTTTGGTATCTTGTGTTGCTGCTGCTGTTGTTGTTGTTGTTGTTGGATGCTGTTGTTTTGTTGCCTGCTGCTGCTGCTGCTGCTGCTGCTGCTGCTGCTGCTGCTGTTGTAGCTGTAGCTGATACTGTAGCTGTAGCTGTAGCTGTAGCTGTAGCTGTAGCTGTAGCTGTAGCTGATACTGTCGCTTCGTCACAGTACGAAAGCAGGACGCCATCACACCCATTACATGCTACACTGGTTTCCGATGCTTTGGAGAGGCGATTGCGGTGGTCACAGGCCTAAATCATCATGGAAAAATTGTTGTCGCGGAGAAGAAAAGGGTCTAACCGAGAACAGGCATGTGTGCTTCGGGGTACGGGCTTTTTATGGAAAACTCTCGGCTCCATGTCCGTTTTTTGTAGAGGTGGCCATGGTAGTGGAAGGCACACCCGCTTGTCACCATTCTTCCGGCTTTCTCTCTCTCGCTCTCTCTCTTTCTCGCTCACATGCACACGCCCTTGCTCCTGCCCGTCGCACCGCCTCTGACATTCCAGCTGCCGATTTTCGTGGTGATGACCAAGTCGGACGTGGCCGGAAGCCTTCCCCCGGGGACCCTTTCGTCCCCGCCTACTACCACCACTTCAGAAACGCCTCCATCTCCAGCCCACGGGCGACGCTCTACCCACGGGCAACCCTCTGCCGATGCTACCGCTGAGTCAGCGGCGGCGGCGGCGGCGACGGAGATTAGGGCCGCCCTGCAAGGGATCGACCGGGTGCTGTGGGCGTGCATGGGCCGGCGGGCGAGGATTGTGGGGTGTGTGGAGGACGCAGAGGCAGCCGCGGATGCGATCAGGGGAGGCGGGGGCGGCGGAGGTAGCAGGTGAGAGGGCCCTTTGTTGGTTTCGTTTTTCGTCTGCCCGTCTGGTTGGCTGTCTCCGTGTGTCTCCCCGACCGCTGCTGAACGGGGCCAGACCTGTGTTTTTTTCTTTGCTTTGCTCTGCAAGTCCTTTAGGGTGTTTCGATTGTCCCTCGCTTTCTCTGTCTCCACGCATCTCTCGGAGTTTCGTGCTCTAACTGTTGTGTCTCTGATTGCTGTGTGTTTCTGGCTGTGTCTCCTTGTCGATGTGTGTCGGTCTCCCTCCCTTGCTTCACTAATTTCGATGTCTGTCTGTCTCCTCTCTCTGTCTCCTGTTCTCTCTCCGTTTGTACCTGTCTGTCCGTCTGCCTGCTCGTTTGCCTGCTACGCTAACATAGTGCGACCGGAGACGTATCATGGGAGGCGTCTGTCCCAGTGATGCAGGTGTCCTCGGTCACATCCGACGGAATCGCCGACCTGAGGGCGTTCCTTGGCCGACTGTCGCCGCCCGAGCCACTGGAGGCCATGTACAAGGAGGCCAGGGGCAAGGCAGCGGAGGTACAGTACAGCAGTACAGCAGTGCGTCCTCGGATGCATGTGATGTGGTTGTTGCGTTTGGCGCCGAGGGGGGGGGGGTGGGCTTGATACGATCACGGGAAGAGACTTGTTGTTGTTGTTGTTGTTGTTGTTTGTTGTTGTGTTGGACGTTGACGTTTTGGTGATACATGTGGTGGTGGTGCTGTTGTGGTGTGGTTGGAGGCAAAGCGTATGTCACGATTTACTTGGCGCTTGCCCTTCATTGGGGGGAAGCCCCTTGGCGAAGAACGGGGTGTAAATTGATCGGTAACTGAATGTTTTGTTCTAGGTGGTGGGACCGGCGCTAGTGCTAGCATTCGTAGTTTCTTGTTTCATCACCTGTAGTATGCCCTTGTTTGGAAGTGTTCGTTGTGGCCGTGAAGCTTACGATCGCTGTCACAGCCTTGTGCTTATGCCAGCTTCTTTATGGAGGCCCCTCAGCTCGGTAGGCGAGGACCCCGATTCAATCGGGGAACTGCGTTCCAGCATTGTTAGTTTCGATTCGTTGTAGGAGGCCTCATAGCGCCAAGGGAAGTTGGCAGGGCTTTCACCGAGCACCCGGCACGATTCAGACTATAGCATGGGACCACTTGCATATTCCGTCTGTCCCGCGATTCACCGGTCTTTTACCGGGGGCGACCGGCCTTATTTATGCCGCCATACGCAGGGACCATTACCTTTGTGTTTGGGTCCGTCGGCCATTGTCGACCAGAACTTGGCGCTCACTTTCTCGACCACCAACAACAGACCAGCCCCGCCCCCCCCGCCCCCAACACCCACGTTCGTTTCTTTCGCACCTCTAAAAAAAAAAAAAAACAGGTGCGCATCAGCAACACGTTTATGGTGGAGGGCGTCGGCGAGGTGTACGCCGGCAACGTGGTGAGCGGCACCGTGTCTGTGGGGGACCGCCTCCTCCTGGGACCCACGGGGCCCCGCGGCGCCTTCGTCCGGACTGCCGTGGCCTCCGTGCACGTCGCCAGGTTAGTTAGACTAGACCACCACCGCCTTCGTTCTTGACCCCCCCCCCCCCCAGCGGCTGTACCCAAATCAAAAGCTTGTACAGGAGACGAAATGCTGGCGTTCAGTGCTGGTCCCTTATCATCACGAATCGTACTCGTAACATGTTGTCCGATACACCCATACGACGTGTCCCCCATATACAAGGCAACTTTCGTTTCATTTTTTTCTTCCGTTTCCTCTACTCCAACAAATATCGCGCGCGCCAGGCTGGCGGTGCGGAGGGCATCGGCGGGTCAGACGGCATCGTTCACGCTGGTCACCGATCCCGACACGGACAGCGACGGTGACGAGGAGCAAGAGAGGGGCGGCGGTGGGTTTGTGGCCGTCCACCATGGAGCGGCGGTGTCGCCCGAGGGGGCGGAATCAGCGGCGGCGGCGGCGGCGGCCGAGGCCCCGCGGGCGGAAACGATACATGGGGGGGCGGGGGGGAGCGAGGAGGAGGAGGAGGAGGAGGAGGAGGAGAAGAAGGGACGAGAGAAGGCGGTGGAAGCGGGGGTTGGGGTGGTGGCTTCGATACCTGCGAGGATCGGGGGGGGTTGCGGCGGGGCGGGGATGATGGCGTCCGGCGGAACCCCCGCCCCGCTCGTTGATGGCGGCGGCGGCAGCGGTGGTGTTGGTGGCGTCGGGGAAGCGGAAAGCCCTAGAAGAACCCGGAAAGGGATGGTGTTAGTGGAGGTACGCGACTTCTGCATGAGTTACATTGGGGGGGGGATGTCTTTTTTCTTCTTTCTCTTTTTTTTTTTTGAGGCTGGCTTGTTGTGATCAGGCTGCAAGGTGATGTTATCGCGGAGGGGGAGGGGGAGGGGGAGGGGTGTGTGTTCGTGTTTCTCTTTGTTACGAGCTACAGGTGGGGTTGGTCATTGTGTGGTACGACGTTTTTTTTTTAGACAGACCACCGCTGTTGCTGTCTACTCCGTATGCCGATGTTACCACGAACGATACACGAGCTTGCTGGCGATTTGGCTCGGTAGAGATCGCAAGAGCGTCGTTGCATCAAAGTAGAGCAGCCTGTCGACGACGTCAGACCACGCCTTGACTCTCCTGAGCAGGAGCTCGGCAGCAGGAGCTCGGCAGCAGCAGCTGCTGCTGTCGCTAGTGCTACCCGCTGCCGCCGGTTCTAGGCGGGGCGGGAGGTTTGTTTCTGGGCATGCTACGCTTTCGAAAGTGGCAGCAGCATTGATTGCATAACCCTCCCCCCCCCCCGCGCCTTCTGCCACATTCCTTCCTGCTTGCTGCGCGTTTGCTTGTTGGTGCAGGCTACCGGTCTGCCGAACACGAGCTACGAGTTCGAGGCGGAGGTGATGGTCCTGCACCACCCGGGGTGAGACAGAGAGAGAGAGAGAAAGGGTCAAAGGAATGACTTGCAGTGACATGGACTGGTAGTACGGACACCCACACACAGGCAGCTCATGTGTGCGTGCTGTGTCTAGGTGTGCTCTTTGTAAGTTACGTGCGTGTCCGTTTCAACTTATGTTCACTCTATGCACGTTACAGCTATGATTGAGACCGCCCGGTCTACAACATGCAGCATGGCCTGTTTACCTCCACTCCCGGAAAGTTGGTCCTGGGTTTATTTGTCGGTGAAGCAGACCTTTTCTTTTGTTTTGCTGTATATTGCATGTCTTCACCGCGGACCAAAGTTTCACTTATCCCCTGGCTTTGTTCCGTTGCACACGTCGTGGCCAACGATAACGCTACCGTCGTCCACACCGGCGCCGACGCCCGTCTTCTTCTTCCGACGACCTGGCGGGGACCAGGGTGATCCGCGAGAACTACCAGCCGGTGGTGCACGCTCACAACATCTGCCAGTCGGCGCGCATCACCTCCATGCTTTTGTCCACGGCGGCAGTAGACTCCGCGGGTGTTGCACCACCACCACCACCAGCGCCAGTGCCAGCGGCAGGAGCAGTACCAGCACCATTAGTAGATTCCACAGAGACAGCGGCGGCGGCGGCAGCAGCAGCAGCAGCAGCATATTCCACAGAGACAGCGGCAACAGCAGCACCAGCGGCAGTAGATTCCACAGCGACGGCAGCACCAGCAGGAGAAGGAGAAGGAGCAGGAGGAGGGGCAATAGAGACAGCGGTAGTAGAGTCAGAGGAAGCAGGAGCAACAGAGACAGCAGCAGAACCGGGACCGGCACGGGCCGCGCCATCGGCAGGAATCAAGTCCGGGGAACGCGCCGTTTGCCGGTGAGTGCGTCAACAGAGGCACCCCCCCCCCCCCCCTCCGCTTTCCCCTAGCATGGCAAACTCTAGCACAAACTGCCTTGTTGTTTGTGTTTGTCTCTCGTCCAGAGGCGTGATGCGCCACCTTTTGTTTGAACGTTGTGTCTTGCTATGCTAGGTTCCTTGTTTCTAAGCAACCCCCAAGCTAGCTTCATGTCCCTCCCCTTTTCTCCTGATTGTCGTACGTTGACCCCCCCCTCCCCACGGTATTAACGGTGTTTGCCATCGGGGTTGGGTTTTCGTCGCTTGGCAACGACGTTGTAAAACAAACCGCCGCCCCCAGTGTTTGCCATCGGGATTGGGTTTTCGTCGCTTGGCAATGACGTTGTAGAACAAGCCCCCCCCCCCATCGGGGTTGAGTTTGTTCGCTGGTAACGACGTTGTAAAAGAAGCCGATCGCTTAGTGAGCTCGGTAACCAGGTTACCGCTTTTTTTTCTTGCTTTGGATTATTTGTTTTGCGGCAACGATATTGGCGGTCGAGTAGATTATGTTGTGCGGGGTCAAGAACCCTCACTCCGCGCAAAGGGGGATAATCGCACCACGTTGTGTTAAATTGTTCAAGCACCCTCGAGGCAGTTAGAAAGTGCTTATAAATGTCTCTGGAAGTGAATGCACCAGAAAATGAAGTAAGCAATACGCAGCTGTTATCCGTACGCAAGTAAGTAAGCATAAGATGCCGAACACCCTTGGCAGGATGAAGCGCACTCCTCATGCGACTCGCCGAATACCTCACGGTGCTTCGCGCTTGGTGATGTGGGAGCCTGGTCCGGTGAGAACCCGGCGTGCTCCGTCCCGGCGTTGTAGGGATGCGAGGTCAATGGTCTAACGACTACGGCATGCACGACTATGAGTACACCCCCCCCCCCTGCCCCCCACATGAGAAAAACTGGGTCTCTGTTATAACTGTATCATAACCGAAAACGACGCCCGAATATTGGTGCTGCCCCGCATCGGGGACGATAGGAGAAGTGCGCATTGTCGGAGGGGCACCGTGGTGATTGGTCAACAGGTAGTCAGGCAAGAAACCACTGCCCCCCCACGTTCCTTTTCCTGATGACCGTACGTCCCGCGTGTACCGTTTCTTTTTCATCAGGTTTCGATTCCTGTACCGACCCGAGTACTTGTCCGTGGGCACCACGATCGTACTTCGGGAGGGAAGGACCCGAGGCTTCGGCAAGATCATCTCGGTACACTGATGCCAAACAGGACCGGCCAACAAAGAGAGAGAGGGGGGGGGGGAGGGGGGGCGTAATCGTCTCGTGGCTCCTGATGAGTTTGCTTGGTCCCTCGTGACGGTCGTGTTTTCGCGCGTTGTTTTCGTTTTTTCGTTGGTGTTAGGGGTTTGAGGGTAGTTCCTGATGGAGCTCTCTTTTGGATGAGTTTTTCGTTGATGGTGTCGGGGGTTTGAGGGTACATACCTGACACGTCTCTTTCGGATGAGGTTTTGGTTGATTCGTGGAGGCCTAGGACGATGCTTGCGGCAAGGTGATCTCAGAGAGAGAGAGGTGCTTGATTGGCTAGACGGGTGTTTCCACATTTTTTGCCACGTTTTTCTTTTCATGGTTTCCTGGAGGGCGGGGTAGGCCGTCCTTCGGCGGCAACGCGTGTTTCCGGTTTGATGGTTTTCGTCTTCCCGTCGGTGTACGTTCACACGGATCGTGCCGAGGCGGGCGGGGGGTTGGGCACGGTGTGTGAAGCAACCTAGGTCCTCGAGACTGGGGTTGTTCTTTGTTGATATGCATCGCTTGGCGTGCCGTGGTGGCGGCACAAGGGGTTCCCGTCAGGGGAGAGCATATTTGTCGTGCCCGGTTTTGTGGCGTTACTGTTTTTGTTCCTCTCGTTTAACGACCCCATTTTTTCGTGATGAACTATACACAGACGTGCTTGGCATGCAGTAAAGCCCCGTCAATTGCTGTATACAACGGCAGCACCGAAATAATATGTTAGAATTCGTTTCAACTGACTTTTCCCCTATCATTCGGGTGTGGTCTAGCGGTAGGTAGGGTGGAAACACGGATAACAAGCGTTTTTGGCACTCCGGAGACTGACCACAAGGTTTGTGAGGAATCTTGTGTTCCACCTCCGGTTGGGGGCACGCAGATTGTTCGAATACCGTACTACCGACTGCTCTTCTAAAATTGTACCTTGCGAGCGTTGGCTTTTTGTCCTGTGTGGTGCGGGCATCGTTTGTAGATGTAGTACTTATTTGAGCAGGGGTACATTCATGTTTCAGAATTGATTGATAGGCTGCGTGCGATTCGGGGTGGGTAGCGTAAGCAAACACGTAGTCAATAGGGTTGTAGAATATTTGCTTCGTAAAAGTCAGGCAGGGAGGTGCGCACGGGGTCTTGGGTGTTGAGGAATATATCGCCCTCTAGCGTTTGTAGTGGTATGCGGCTACATCGGTCTTCTCGTGCCGGAAACGAGGCGGCGGAGTCATGCGTGTCATTCAGTTGGAGTCAATCTGCCGGATACTTCTTTATAAGGTCTGAAGTGTGTTTGTCGCGTGCGGGTTCTGAGGGTGAGAAAGCGCAAAACCACCCATTTTATTTTTGTATTGTCTTTGCGCGCTGTGGACAATGGACGGGCGAGCAGCGTTCGGGGCGGTGTTTTTTTTTTCGGGTGGGCAGGCAATCTTACAGCGAAAGACTGAAAAAGTAAATAGTGTAGTTATGCATGCAACTGTAGTTACCCGTGGTGCATGGTTTCTTGTGTTTGTTCGTCCGGGTGGCCATTTTTTCCGTGCCCGAACGCAGCGGATGGGCGGGCACTCTTCTTCGTACGAGGCGGAACGTAAATACTGTAGGTATACATATGCATGCAATCGTTCGTTTACAGTCTTCCACATGGCTTGCCTTGCACACCTACTGTAGTACCTCCAGGCGAGCATGGACGGGTGCATCCGATGTCAGGCACGCACACATGAGAGAAAGCACTAACGGAGCGCCTGTTTCTTGTTGTTAGGAGGGGGGGGAGAGGGTACTGTATCTCTGTGTTGTAACCATTTGTGAAAAGATCCCTCGCGATTTCCGCCTTCCATCCGTTCCTGCCGGCGTGGCACTTGATAGTGTCACACGCACGTTTCACGTGCATGGTACATTTTTTGCAGATAACTGGCTATACTACTGTTGCTGTTGCTCAGCAGAGTCTAGATTGGCAAGAGAAATCCGGTTACCGCCAGAACGCCTTCACGCTGAACTTCTTCGTGCGGAAATACACTTCCTTACTTAAGGGACGCCTGACCCAGGAGCAATGCAACGCTGTTCATATATATCTATGTAGACTCCTCCTCCTAGCATACTAGCAGGGGCGGCATGGAAGAAAGCCCGCGTTCGAAGCTGCGTCGACGCTTTTGCAAACAGACGAGTCCTCTCCTCCTTCGGTTCCTTCGAATCCACGGCGCCCCTTGCCACCCTCGACCAAGAGGGCCCGTGCACCGGCATTTCTGACGTCCACCACCCAGCCCCTACCATGTAGCATATCTTCCAAGGCGCTTAGACTATTATTGTATAGGACGTAGTGGTATGTATAGTAAACCTATTATTGATTGCTGTTTTGTATGGGCTTACACGTTTTCAGTCAAAAACTCTTGCATTAAAAGGCAATGCGTTTATTATGTATAACCATACTGCATCCTACACAACAATAATAATAGAGCACTATTTCGAAGTACCGCATGTAATACCGGTAGGTTTTACAATAATACTTGCACGCAAATCCAATACCACCATCACTGCTGCTGCTGTGTGTAGAATATTGTGTCGGTCTAAAACCAAACAAGATTTTAGCAGGTGCCTGTAGGTAGGCTAATGCATGCCATACTAAATCCTACCGTATACAATGGACTCCCCCCACAGGATTGGCCTCAATAAAGTTTTGAGCAGGACGCCAGGGATCCACGGGTGGGTCATGAACAACTTTCACGACTCGCTTGAGTTACCGCCCCATCAGTCTCCTCGGCGCAAAAAAAAAAGTTGTGTCATATTAATCAAGATAAAAACAAAACAAAACGCTGTGCCATGTTTCTGATTTCTGAAGAGGTTGCCAGGAACGGTCACATTGGAGAGACTCCGCGACGTGAAGAGGGGGTCCACGCTTTCACAACAAGCCCCGGCGCGGGGAGGGATTGTACTGGGCATACATCGTTGTAACCTTTGCGTTTTTCCGGCAGCTCTCTCGCCACAGAAGTGGACAGTACTCCGGGACTTGGGTTCTCTGCGCATCTCCAAAAACGGACTGCTGTAGACCCATGTTTTCGTTCACAAACACGTACTGAGTCGTGCCCGTGTGCTCTGCCTTACGGCCAGGGCACTGCCAGTAGCGGTGCGAGGACCACGTCTTGTGCTTGAAGTTGGGCCTCGGGTGGGAATGAATGTGTTTGTCGCACTACTGAACATGTGCAGGTGTAAAAGCACGCTGTGCTGGATTTTTTTAGCTACTGCATGTAGGAAACTAGAAACAGGTCCAGAGTTACTGCTGCTGCTGCTGCTGTAGATGTTGATTCCCACCGGTGGAATGAAAGGTGGTGGTTGATGTGGATCGACCACAGCTTGAAGAGCGAGATATATACCAGAAGTTGTCTATACATCTAGTCTAGGCTGCGTGCACGCAAAGATCCGGCCAGCCAGCGTAACGAAAAACTGTATACTGCTGTATGTATGTAGATTGACGCAAAAAGGAGCATCGGCACACGAACAGCGAACCGAATCCCATCGCATGTATGTACCAAGCTCGCAAGCTCACCTTATCTTTCGGCCGGCCTGACCTTGACTGCCAGCATCTCACCTTTTGACGTGCAGTTTGGGTCACAGAAAAGTCTGCACACCAGTCTCACCAATCAAACAGTGTTCAACAGCAGTACAGTGCGCTGGAGGTGGCTTCCTACAAGTAGCTCCATGCTTGAGAGTCAAGGCCAACGGTAAGTGCACAGCACCTACCTACCCTCTGTACTTGTCGGATCATTGATAGATGGGATGAAACAGCAACACCAGTTACTTGTAACCTAGACAATTGATCTGAGCCATGAAAGCGCCAACAACACAGGTATGTAGGTTCGTTTTCACGGCAGGGAAGTTAATCGAGTCCCACGTAAATCTGAAACTGGAAACACGAGTTATTTTACTACTACTACGGTAGATTACGATGGCACTTAACTTCACGCATTTGACTCAAGCTCTTTGCACCCTTTGCACCCTCGAATCTCTCGTTGTTTCATTTTTTTCCAGGCGCGAGACGTTGTTTTGTTTTTATTGACAGGCAAAATGGGTTGGGGGACGAATCTGTACGTCTTTCTGGCGTGCTTCGCTCCTCAGCGGCCATGTGTCGGCTTCGAACTTCCCTTCAGGAAAGACCAAGCAGCGAAGGGGGCACTCTTTCCCCCGAAGCAGG